GAGAGAGAGAGAGAGAGAGAGAGAGAGAGAGAGAGAGAGAGAGTGTGTGTGCGTGCGTGTGTGTGTGAGGGAGAGAGCGAGTGTGTGTGTGAGAGAGAGACAGTGGGTGCATGTGTGAGAATGTGTGCGTGTATGAACAGGCTCGTAAAGCCTCTACTACAGGGCTTACGCCCCCAAGCCCCCGCCGCAGTGATTTGACATTTGGTCCGGTGTTGCTAACTTATGCTCATAGGGTCTATGTCCCCCAGGGTACTGCCGGAACGTACCCTGGTCACTATTTGATATGGTTAGGGTTAGGATTAGGGTTAGGGTTCGGGTTAGGGTTAGGGAGTAGGCGTAGGCGACTCCCTAGACTCGTTAGTGGAGTAGGCGAGGTACGGTCCGGCATATAATATAGTATCAGGGTACGTTCCGGCAGTACCCCGGGGGGACATAGACCCTATCAGCCTAACTTATCCCCGTGTGTTTCTCTGTGACGCGTTATCTCCCCGACAACGCTGTTTGTTCAACGATGTATCGTCGGCGGTTTATAAGATCAAGATCGTTCATCGGGTGTTGTCGTTCCCGGTGCACGAGCAAATGTAGTCGGTCTTCGTTTTTACACCGTAGGCATGTGATCTCCCGCGTAAACAATGTTACAAATATGTCGTGCTAGACGTAGGAAGCGTGTTTGAGGTGACGCTGCGCGCATTGCACATGCAAGCGACTGACAGCATGAAGTTAGTTGCTGACGATGTTATGCCATGTGTAACCATGTGGCGTCTTCACGGAAGTTTACCGACCCCCTAGAACTCTAATCTGAAGTCTTGTCGTATTTCGTCGTGGATTAATTCGTTGATTAATTAAAGGCTTACAATGCGCATCCAAACGCTAATTTCTCCAGTACTAGACTAGCAAGTACTTCGTGTCATGCATAATCACACTACCTTATGACAAAATAAACTCTAGTTGCTCCCATTTCACTGCGCGTTTGCTTAAAACCCACAAGAAAGAGGTGAGAAAACTGGCATTCTGGCGCAAACGCCGACTGTTTGCCAAACAAAATAGCCTCGAAGTGGTGACGTGACGTCACATGTTTTTATCTTTGCTGCGCCCGTACCGCTGTACCGCAGCACCGCTGCACGGTTGCTTGGGGATTGGGGAAACTGTCAACAACATCGGAGGTATTTTCAATATACCTTTTATAAGACGTGCAGTGAAATGGGAGCAACTAGAGTTTATTTTGTCATAAGGTAGTGTGATTATGCATGACACGAAGTATTTGCTAGTCTAGTACTGGAGAAATTAGCGTTTGGATGCGCATTGTGCGGCTTTAATGCTGGCGTGTAAGCAGACTGCAGGCCACACTCACTACGCCTGAATCTCATCTGCACACATGTTCAGCTCACTTTACCCATCGAATACGTGTTCTGCCGTCGCGCATTGTGAGGCGCCCCCTGGCGACAGTGTCAACAAGTGGCTAGTCATCGGTTGTTCCCTCGCCCATGCATACGTATGCGAGGGAATATGCCTGCTATGTCGACACGATCGATAAATAAAATGCGTCCATTGTCACCCGTGTGTTGTTGTCACCGTGGTGACGGATGTAAACAAAGCAGCCATTTTTTCTTTTCTTTTTTTGTTTACATCATTCATTTATTTACCTTTTTTATAGTAGGATCTAGAGACAGAAAAAACATTTGCTTCGACAACGCCGCTCCTGCGAAACTTACGATAAAAGAATGCAACTGAAAAGCAAATCCTACTAAATCGTGACTACTACACGATTGGGAGAAATCAGCAGATCAATAATTGATCTGTTGCCAGCAACGTCACACGAAATCAGTCGATAATCAATCAATCAATCAAATCAACCCAGACTCTTCATTTGTTCACCGATACCAATCATGCTTCTCCCTCTCACCTTTAGCATCTGCTGGCTTACCTGGTGCTGGTTAAGTATTGTTAGAGATGCCATGGGTCTTGGTATAATACTATATTATGTACATTAGACTTTCGCAAACACGAATCAGCTATGGCCAAATTACGAGCCAAATCCGCGCGCGTGATAATCAAAGCAAATCTGCTCGTTCCTGTTAATTAACATAATTGACACCTAATTAAGTGACGGTCGGTCACAAGAAATCGCTATACCCGCGGACGCCACGCTTCGATCCACGGCCAGCAGGTGGCAGTCCATGCAGGCTCCGATCGGAAACCCTTTCCGCACTCAACTTTAACCGACCACTTTTGTAACCCCCCCGTCGCCACCCGCGAGTTTTTCTCTCACACAAGTTGCTCGTAGTCGATCGATTGTACGTGGCTAGACCTTGCACTAACATGCAAGTGACACAGAACGCTTAACAGCTAATGAGTCCTGCAGACGCGCTAAACTCGGGTCCCTTCAACCGATAGCAGGGGTTAATAATGACAATTTGTCATTATTTGTCATGTCAATAATGACAATTTGTAATTATTTGTCATAATGACAATTTGTAATTATTTGTCATAATGACAATTTGTAATTATTTGTCATAATGACAATTTGTAATTACTTGTCATGTCAATAACGACAATTTGTCATTATTTGTCATGTCAATAATAACAATTTGTCATTATTTGTCATGTCAATAATAACAATTTGTCATTATTTGTCACGTCAATGACAATGTCATGTCAATAATGACATAATTTGTCATTATTAACCCTTGCTGATAATAGACGACTTACTGACACGACTAATAATATATAAGTTATCCCGAAAAGGACTACAACGCTAGCCAACCATGCAACGCGCAAACAACCGCTTTGCTTGCGACTCTTGCCCAGTTCAACTAGAAACGCTTATCTATTGTTCACACTAGAAAACTACTACTACTACTACTACGGTACGGTAGTGATTACGGGGGCAAAGCATCATGGCGACACACTCTTCTCTCTCACTCTAACATGTATATGACGACTACTACTTCGGTAGTGCTGCGCGTCACACGCGGGGCAGGGTAAAAAAATACACGGGAGCGATGAGCGATTCGCTCTTCAAACCTCCGAAATCGCTCCCGTAAAATTTTGGACGAGAGCTATTTTCCCCCCACAGACTTGAAAAAGAGCTCCCGTGAAAAATAAGAAATTTTCCCCCCTGACGTGGGGTCGGCCAGGGTCGCGACGTTCCTCATCCTTCTTGTCAATGTTCAGTGCATCCGTTTGCAGGAATAGTTCGCGCGCGCGCACACACACACACAGACACGTTCACAATCTACCTGGAGCCTGGCCCGATTGGACGCAGACCCTTACGGTCGAGTGTCTGTTGTCCTCTGGCGGCGCACGGATGCAGGTCTCCATGGCGACGATGTCCGCGGGAGCGTCTGCCAAGTTCCTGCGATTGTGTTCACGACGATTTTCCTCTCCCTTCCCCCTCTCTGTTTCTGTTTCTCTCTCTCCGTCTGTCTGTCCGTCCGTCCATCTGTCTGTCTCTCTCTCTCTCTCTGCCCCCCTCTCTAGGCCATCATCATTCACTTGCCCGGTCTGTCGCTCTCTCCGTCTTCGTCGCTGAAGCTTCACGAATGAACGAACTGCCGTCTTTGTACTTTCGACTCCGCAGGAAAAATTGCTCACAAAACAAAAGTTCACAACTCGTTTAACAAAACGTAATCTGTGCGCGGCGACGAGGTGAAATCTTCCTCCAGGTGGCGCTCTTCGTTCGCACTTGTTAGTCGGTCGGCGTGACAAATGAACATGCCTTCAGAACAAGACGACATGAGCTTTGGACACTCCTATTCGTTTATTTCCACGACAAAAAATCGCTCTCGTACAAGTCTATCTTACATAAGCATAAAACACCTTGTGGTTGCTGAGGCAGCACCATTACCGTGGCAACACCACTGATGAAGAAGCTGGCCATGGTATTAAAATAAATCCGTAGTACGCGAGAATATTTATATATATGTACACACGCACATGCGCGCATACAAATTGATACGACACACGCACATACGCGCACACACATTGATACCACACACACACATGCGCACATACGCGCACATACACACACACGCACATGCGCGCATACACACATTGATACCACACACGCACATGCGCACATACGCGCACACACGCACACGCGCGCACATACATTGCTACC